GACGGGACGCGCGCGCGGGGCCGATGCCAGTCGGGGACGATCGTTTTCCGCGACCTGACAACGTTCTTGGCGGATCGCGCGCGCGAAATGAACCTGCTCGTCGTGCTGCCGCTGCTGCTGTTGCCGTTCGGCTGCTGCAATTTCGCGTTGAACAGTGAGTAAAAAAAAAAAAACAAGTCCCGTACGCGGTTCCGGGACAAACGCACTCGTCGCGTCTCGCGTCGAAACGGTCACGCGATCCCGTCGAGCGCGACGCCGAGTGCGCTGGGAGTTGTTTTTTTTTTTTTTTTCGGCGACCGCGGGCGGAATGTCGCGTGAAAAAGTTCAGACCGGGAACTGGGACCTTTTACGGTTTGATCGGTTTCGGTTGCTTCGTAAACGTTCCTACGGGTTGTTCCGGTTCCGGTTGCTTTGGAACGGTGTTCCGATCCGAAACCGGCGTTTTTCGATTCAGCCCAGTCCCTGGTTCAGATGAACGCGTCGTTTCACCCCTCACGTCCTGAGTATTTTCGAACCCATTGAAATTCGCACCCGTGTAGCCTGACGCTGTACCTGATCATCATTCGCGGATGGCCGATAAACTGCGGTGCACGTAATCTTCTCTCCCGGTGAAAAACCCTTTTCACGCATATTTTTATCCCTTTATTATGTAATGGAAATTTACTCAAAAATCTTTCGTCCCACCCACCCGTACGTTTATCTACCATACAGTTGGATATGATTATCGGTACTTGCGGTCTACTGGTGACTTTTTTTTCTCGTGTCGACTCGTTTACCGTTACAATTTTTACTTTCTAGATAAAAGGTATCTGAGAAAAGTGTTATGAATATGATATTAATCAACTTGAGAATTCCACAAATATATATTGCACGTACCTACTAAAATTTGATCGAATCGTATCACTCGATGACATAACGTTTAAGGTTAGACGCAAAAATGAATTTTAAAAGCATACGAAATCTGTAGTCCAGACGTGCGCCGTTGGAATAACGCCATTGCACCCCGGTACATTATATATTATGGTTTTGAAATAAAGAACGCAATGGGGCCAAATTCTAAACTTTTTGATAAAGCAAAATCTAAAATGTAGGATTCATCGTCAAACCCGTGTCATCATACTTAACCCAGAGACTTAATATTAATCTATAAAAATGTTCTAAGGGTACCAATCACCTTCTTATTTAAGATATGAACCATATACGCTTCACTTTACGAGAATGTTATTGGTTCGGCGCCACTGATACGACGTGTACGCGATATGAAATGAGCGTGTGATTGAAATTTGTTGTAAGGCACACACCCTTGTTTATATATCGCGAACATGTATACATTGGGTATTACGTCCTACGTTTCGAGTAAAATGCATTCGGACGCGACAGTAAAGTCGAAACATTTAATCTTATTTACGTACCGAAGTGTTTCGTTTTAAACGTCGTTACGTAATGGTGTAATGGTCAAAAGTGTTTTTTTTTTTTTTGTTCAATGACAATCAGAAAAATCGATAGCTGTTTCCAAGGGACAATGAAACCGTATCTCGTTCAACACTATTATATTGGTATATCATTTGCGGTATATATTATACAACAATATCAGGACCTAGTCGGCACGTATGCTGACAAATTAACGTCATTATTATACAGAGGCCGAAACTCGACGATGAGTTAGCTCGTTATTTTTTTCTCTTTTGCTTTGAACACAAAAGATTTTATTTCGATAACATTTAGCGGTCATTTTACGAAATCATTCGCAGAAAATTATTGAAATTTTATCTCATTAGCATATAAATAAAACGCGAACTACTGCTTCTTTTCTAAAATGTAACATTCTTATTTTCTATATTTTGCTCATTGGGTTTTTTTTTTTTTTGTAGTGCAATTATAACTCTATCCTAGTTTAACTGTAAACTAATCAATGTTTACGAAATCGTAATAATTTTAACGTAATTTTTGAAATACTTTAAGTTTTTTAGTGATATTGTTTTCCGTTAACAGACACAAAGTTCGAAGGCAATCCATACAAAAAACATTTATTCGACGATCTTCTGAGCAACTACAATCGGCTGATCAGACCCGTACAAAATCACTCGGAGAACTTGACAGTATGGATTGGTCTCAAGCTCACGCAACTTACCGAAATGGTGATTATAACATATATTTTTTAACTCAATATCTCGATTCACTGCTTATACGCACAATCACTATTATCATCGTTTGCTATCGGGTTTTATATAACGCAGAATCTCAAGAGTCAAGTGATGACGACCAGCGTTTGGCTGGTCCAGAAGTGGTTCGACTGCAATCTGAAATGGAATCCCAAAGATTACGGCGGCTTAGAAGTGTTGTACGTGCCTTCCGATCACATCTGGTTGCCGGACATCGTTCTGTTTAACAAGTAAATCTATTACAATACATTATACGTATTAATGCTTGATAAATGTTTGTAAAACTTCCGCTGCTGCAGCGGGCTAACGAGGACAAAAAAAAAAAAAAAAAAAAAAAAACAAGAGAAAAGGCGAATATTAAAAATAACACTGCACAGCAAACTCACGTTATTACTGTTATTATTGTGATTCTCCACAAATCATTTCGGTTTTATCGCGCTAAAGCAGATCACGGTTGTTGCCAACGGCCACACACGGAATTCCACTAACGAATTACGACCGATCGTGGGCGGATAAGACAATTGCACTTCCATTGACACGTTGTCGTGTGCGCGTGTGTAGGCGTGTATTTTCGGTAGCGTTCTCGTCCGAAGTCAAAAACATTCAAGTATTATTATTATTATTTACGATGGACGTGCACAATATTTTTATATTGTTACAACCTTTTTCTATTGTTTTTTGTCGTCGTCGTCGTTGCGCGCCCGCGTTTGCCCTTGTGTTTGTTTTTCGTAAAACTCATAGTTTCAAGGGGAATTCAATACGTCGCCGCACTAAACGGTCAGTTCGTTCCGACAGAAGTAGATAAAACATCGTTGGCATATTACATATATAATTATTACCGCCCGAGGTGATGGTCTCTGACGGAATAACGTTTTCACTAAAAACGCGTACTAGTCAAAAACCCAATTATAAACTATTGGAATACTACGCGGCAGGTTGTGTACGTATGTACGTGTTGTTGATCTGTTGCGTTTGATATTACGTTTTTACTCCCGTGTTGGTGCAGCTAATGTTGTGCGTATCATTCGACCCTAAGATTTTCGAACCGCGCAACACTTAACGTAACGCACACATTTCTATTCAAATTTGCTTTGGAAATACGTATCGGGGGAATCCGTTCGAATTCGCATTATTAATACAGAACGGTAATGCATTCGTTTTTACCAGGAACGTTTCGAATATTGCATTCGCGTGCGACTAACGAGGGTCACGTATAACACAAAATCGTTTCGCCAAATAATTATCTACGAATCCGCGTTGCGTAGACATAACAGTAAAATATTGACGCGCATAAAAGCGCAGTCGATGAATACTATTGTTGAGCAACAACCGGACCGCGTTGCGTAGGATGATTTTTAACTATGCGTACTTAGCTCGGCTCGTAAAACCGATGGAAAGCTGATCGGATGGTTTTACGAAACCAACAGAACATAATTTAATATATTCACGATTTACAATAAAATGTATTACACGATGAAAATAATAGAATTATACAAAATATTTTACAGCGCCGACGGCAATTACGAAGTGACCCTGATGACAAAAGCGGTGCTCAAGTACACTGGCGAAGTCTTGTGGACGCCGCCAGCCATCTACAAATCTTATTGTGAGATTAACGTGCTGTACTTTCCATTCGATGAACAGAACTGCTATATGATGTTTGGGTCGTGGACTTACAACGGACTTCAGGTGCTCGATTTCTATACATTATGTAATCATGTCTTCACCGGCGTTTTGTCGTAACCCAACTAACCAGGCCGGGGCTTACTCCTAACCCCTAAATGGACGGTTAGATTAGGATTAAATTCGTCTATCTTGTTCCAGATCTAGCAGGTCTGACTAATTCGAGTATTTTACGTCTGTACATAACTACACATTTACATTGCCCTATAAAATATATCGGAAAACGTACAACTTGCAACGCTCTAGCAAGTAAGGGATTTGAACTAAACCGGCTTCTTTGAGTTGAACATTTACAGTCAACCAATCTGCAAGGACCACGGGTGCAAAATTTACTGGTCTCTTTATGTCGAATAGGATCCCGATCCGTAACAAACAATAGTCAAATAAAGTTATGCGCTGGCACCACCTCACACCGTTCTACAAATCTCTATTGTTCATGCATTGTTCTTAATACGTAATTGTTTTCAATGTTTTCAATTATTTCGGTACATTATTATTATCACCATAATATTATCGTTGCAAACATGATGGTTGTATTTTCCAGATTCTATACACGTATAGATAAAATTAAGCTGTTAAAGGCGCTCGTTTACTTGGTTGGACAGACTTATAGTTTTCTAGATGATTACAAAAAAAAAAAAAAAAAATACTTCTAACAATCTTTTTTCACGATGGAATAGTTGTTCGAACTTGCATGCTATGTTGTTGGCTGTCGGATCCTATCCTCCAAACCCAGCACTATGTATTTGTGCTTTTTTTTTATTTACATTACGGTGTGTGATCCTATCGAACCGACTCTTCTGCGAAGTTCTGTGACAAAAATAAAATAAATAATAAATATTTTTATGTTCGTGCATACAGGTAGATTTGCGGCACATCGACCAGTCGCAAGGAAGAAACCGCGTAGATGTTGGCATCGATCTGAGCGAGTTCTACTTGTCCGTCGAATGGGATTTACTCGAAGTGCCCGCGATCCGGAACGAAGAATATTATTCGTGTTGTACGGAACCGTATACGGGTGAGTTGAAGCGTCATAATGATTTCTGGTGATTTCTGGTGTACACCAACGCGGCGAGAGATCACCTCGTATACTCGTATGCAAATCACGATGAACAAACGCGCGCGTATTATTCATTATAGACACCTCACAATAGGCGCATGTGTACGACGGTATTGCTAATACACGCTTGAAAAATTACATTTTCCGCCTCTCCGTTCTTCCTCGTGGCCATGTTCTTGACCATAAATGTCATTTTTACTGCGAGCTTCCTTATTGAATTTTACTTTTCCATTATTCTCTATAAGTATGTCCATGTTATTCGTGCAAACGCTTTTACGTGATTTAGATTGTGTTTTAATACACGTAACAGCTTTGCTGCAAAGTAAAAGCGAATAAAAATAAATAAATAAAATATATTTTTCCGTGGTTCTATGGAAATCGTAAGCGTTATTTTCCGTATTAAAATCGGCACGGTGAACGTTACATTTTTTACTAGTGCTATTTTTAATTTGGCTCTCTATATAACGATAAGTTCGCAAGTCAAATATTGAAAATATTTTTGAAACGAAATTGCTTGATTTTCACGCTGCAGTACACGCCCAATCATTACCGTTTGATTGTGGAGTATATTATGTCTTAAACACACGATTTGGAAACAACCGTACGCCGTAGCCCGAAGAAAAATATCGAAACGCTATATATATTCGTTCAACCGCGGCACGTGTAATAATACGACTCTCGATCGACTGTGTGTTTTTATACGATTATAATAATAATATAATACATGTTATGCGAAAGGAACAAGTGATTAAAGACGACGACGCTTACCCGTATTATTGAGAACAACTTTCGCCGTATACTATTCGAACGTAAGAGCAGAATATCATACATAATATTGGACCGTTGTCCTTAATATTTTATCGGAACGTGTGTATATTCTTCAACACGAAACTCTGGTCTCTCTCCCCCCCCCCCCCCCCCCCGAAAAAGATAGTACGTATCAAACCTTACGAGTACATCGATATTATATATATCGCGGTATCCGCGATGACGGGTATGTTCAGTAATGTCGTAGTAAACCATACGTTATTACAATATTTGGATTTTTCTTCATAAATTTCAGTCACTTCTTATACCACTCGGCTGTTCTATCTTGTCCCGTAATAATATAATAATATAATAATATTATTAATAATAATAATAATAATATTAATTTTGACATTGGGCCACGAACGTTGAACGGTGACGGCGGTTTAATCGGCAAATTAAATATCGACGTTGATTTCCGCGAGACGCAATAATCATAAAATATAATGTATTACACAGCAGCGGTTCCCAAACTGTACATAGCGTTTCCCTTGACGGAGTAAAGAAATTATAGTAAAAATTTATATTTGTTTTAAGATCATTTTGTCTTGCGAGCAAAAATATTCAAGTGTACTTTAACATAACCATTATTGTAACATGAAGTTTTATGTGAGCCAGCATTGGAGTCGGGTAAACAACTTGGTGTTTGCGCGTTTTTTGTCCTCACCCAATTTTACCATGGCGTACATTCGTTTCGCCTGGATTATGTTGTATGACGTACATTATAATATATGTATATTATAGTGCAATGTTTAAACGTATTTTCGCGTATGATGAAAAAAAATTAATAAAAAATATTATAGTAGATTTACAGTTACGTATTAATTTATACGGATTACCAACCTAACCTACGGTATCCCAAAAAAGGATTTTCCTTTATGACCGACTGTGTATTCATATGTCATGTTGTTTTATAGACAATCGATTGGATATTTTTGGATAATTTTTCTGGCATTTGGCTGTTGTATCATTATGATTTATTAATCAATAGATTTTAAAAACACGAATAAATTTAAACGCTTAGATAAAATACTAAAAAAAAAAAAAATATTTGTGATTCATGTTGTCTATCCAAAATGTCATTATAACTAACCTTATAGAGTCCTTCTACTTCGACCACTAATTATTACTAATGACTATAGTATTTTTATTATAATTATCATAAAAATTTTATTTTTATAATTATTTTTTGAATTGGAGAAAACATTTTATCACGAGGAATAAATTTGTTGATGAAAACTTGTCCGGTAACAAACCAAAATGATTGTATTGAATGATTCGCTATATTTTCCTGTACTTAAAATAAAAATAAACAGTAAAACCATAAGGTTAACGAGATAAACGAATTGAACAACAGATAAATTATTTTTATGTTTTAAATCTTATCCAATCGTCAAATTTAATAATATAAAAAAATATTTCAAAATGTATAGCAAAACGTTTATGTTCAATTTTAAAGGCTAATTAATGTATAGCTTACGGTCATGCGAGTTATCAAAAAAAAAAAAAAAGCCTGCATAATTTGATTTTAAATTTATTAACACAGGAGATATCGCATTCGGTAAATCATCTTAGTTGGACGAACTGTATAATATACTCGAATTATGTGTTATATAACGTTTCGCTACAATAATTAATGTTACGGACGAAAAAATAATATAATTAATAATTACGAACTGCGTCGGTACTATCGTAAATAATATTATGACGTCCGAATTCAAGATCAAAACTCCGATCATGTACGTATAGTTTTATATAATTTATAGTTAAAACACGGTTTTTACGAGTTGGCAATACATAATAGTTAATAATAACGAATAAACCACTGGTGCGGGCGAACCGTATATAAGTCCGTGCGGTGGCGACAACGCAAACATTCGATAAGTTTGTCGGAACAATTATAATAGTAATATTATACGTACGCGTACGCGTATAAATCGGAAATCGTTTTGGAAAAAATAATAATTCTATGACGTATGAGAAACTGCGATATTTTTATGACGTACAAGAAATCGTTATCGTACAGCATTATATTGATAATATGCCATAAAAATCGTATTCCACGAACTCCATTAATTGCGCAATATGCTGCGAGTGTACCATCGTTTCGTGCACAAGTGCGACGTATGACGATAGTGGTCGGGCGATAAATATTTTTTTTAATTTTTTTTTCAGGGAGATTACACTTATCATAACCGCGGTACGGTTAATACGACGAGCCGAGTTGTTGTAATGATGTATTGTATTTGTGCGACAATTACTGCCGTTTGAAAAAAAATAAAAATGAAATACCGCAATAACAATTATACCGTTCGAGGACGACGTCGTAATGAATTATTATTTTCCAAGCCTAAAAACCGTTTACCGGTTGCGAGAAATAAGAACTTAAATAATATTTATTTTTGAAGTCGTATTTGCATTTAACCTTGTCCACGGCGCATTTCGAGACCGATGTTGTAGCCGTACATGATATTATTACAAATAGAACGGTTTACATGCGGTAAGTGGTTACTGTAATCATTTTTGTGTACAGAACCTCGTTTTTTATCGATAAAATTTATTATTGGACGTGGAAATCGTTATAATTATATGCGTTTATCAATACGATTCCGTTTTCAAAGATTTATTTTGACACTCGTTTTTCATATGTTCTTTTGTCAGATTCGCAGATCATATAAATATAAAGTTCCAATAATGATTTCGCTCGTGTTTTTCTAAACACTATTGTCCGATCGATATAAATGTGATGAAAACGAAAAATTCCCATTCGAGGTAAATAAAAATAAAATAGCGTTACGCCCGACTGCGATAAGTCTAGAGTTTAGAAATCGTATGACAATAATATCGCGTTGTTGAGGCTGGAAAATTATACATAATTTTCGTCGAACATAACCGATCCGTCCGACTGACCGTGAATCGTCATGCCTACTTGTTTACGAAGATGCATTTTTTGTTCCGCAGACATAACTTTCAACATCAAAATGCGGCGTAAGACCCTGTTCTACACCGTGAACCTAATCATCCCGTGCGTTGGATTGACGTTCATGACGGTCCTGGTGTTCTACTTGCCGTCCGACTCCGGAGAAAAGGTAAATATGAAAATATTTGATAAACGCGCGTTGTGGCGTCTAACCGTCTAACCGTTGCGTTCGTAATTTCGCAGGTGACCCTGTGCAGTAACATCCTCGTGTCGTTGACCGTGTTCTTCCTGCTGTTGGCCGAAATCATCCCTCCAACGTCTTTAGCCGTCCCGCTCCTCGGCAAGTACCTGTTGTTCACCATGGTGCTGGTGTCCATGTCGATCGGCATGACCGTGGTCGTGCTGAACATTCATTTCCGGTAATAACCTGATGAATCACGATTTCTCGCTTAAGTACTCCGATTACACGGTATATGATTCGAAACGTTAAAAGTATTTCAACGGACGCCGTTTTTCCCAAGTAATTATAAGTACTTCCAGTGTTTTGGATACTTTTTCACCGAATAGAATAATATCCCCAAACCCATTATTAATCGCGTTCGTCGATTTCACGATGCTGACCAAAGCGAACTTTCTTATTAAACGTTGACATATTCCGTACGTGCGAAATGAGCAATATTAAATATGCTATAGATTTTCGCCTCAAAGCTGTGCGAATAATTAAAAACTCCAGGTACTTTTGTGCATTATGTACAAAATTAATTTTCCCTTTCATCCTTTTTCTACTTAACGGTTCTGATCTACCGCAAGGATTTGAACTCTTCTATAACGCTAATCGAAATGTTGCATTTTCATCAATTTACAGCCTCCAACCTGATTTAAATTTTCAATGCTAATATTCCGGTCACTAAATTTGAAAACTATTCGAATTATAATACTGTGTTCGATATCTTATAAATAGTACATTTAAAATATGTCGTTTTCATTTACCGCTTCTTGGGCGCAAAGTTAAAAAAAAAAAAAATGTTTTCTAAAAATACCTACAGGTCTCCGTCGACTCACACTCTGTCGCCATGGGTGAGGACCGTATTTCTCCACATGATGCCGCAGATCTTGATGATGCGACGACCTCCGTACTCGCTAATGACTAACGATGGATTCCAGAGCTCACCTGGCTACTTCAACGAACTGGACTACAGGTACGGAGCGATTTTTCATGTGCTGTTTCAGTGGCGTAGCCCCTATGTATTAAAATGATTGTATATCTTACAAAATAAGAGAAACATTTGGCAGAAGGGTTATAACCAGTTAACTCTCCTCCTGGCTACGCTACTGTGTGGTTTCAAAATAAAAAATACATTTATTAATTTTAATTATTTACTTAGCCGGGACAGCATCAGTGACAGTGGCGGAACCGAACAAAAACCTTCAACCCTGACGCAGAGACACTGGTCCTTTAAGAAGATTCAATCGGTACATCCGCACACTGTGTACCGTAAGTAATTCTATTATGATACCTACCCCTTCCTAATAATTGAAAATAATTATTATTTTTCGGTAAATCGTTAAAATGAGTATGTTATGATTACAAACTGGGCAGAACGTTCATTGGCTAATTGGTTTAGGCTATTTTATTGTATAGGAATGTCCTTCGCGCGTTACATAGCAGACAATATTAACAATATTAACAATTAATAACAAATTAAAATAATAGAACAGTTAAAAAAAAAAACACGTGACGATGATGATATTATTATTTTAGCGGAGAACGTGATGCCGAAAACGATGTCACCAGATTTACTCAAGGCTTTACAAGGGGTCTGCTATATTGCTCAACACATCAAAGACGCGGACAAAGACAAAGAGGTACGTAAATCGCAGAGTAAAACATATAGAAAATATTTCAATTCGTATAAACAACGGGATTTTGACAAACATCGGACTGTACACAATGAATTCGGTTTCAGCATACAGTCTATCAATTGTTTAATTATTTATTATACGTGTACACGTATTTATCGGTTTGATTAAAACGCGTGCAACGTAATATTAACGGTGTATATTATTTGCAATCATTAACCTACGGCTAGGTCGTAAAATAATTATTTTCCAATCGAATATAATTAAAATTAAACATGCATTACTTACTCTCTATTGTATAATATTATAAACCTACATACGATATGAATAATCAACTAAAAACGGTAATTTTAATATAATCATCACGAAAAATGTTTCGTTTGGGTCGCTTGATCAACTGACTTTTAGTTTTTGTACAAATAAAACATAGTTCGCTTAAATAATTACAATAATTCCGCGCCGTGCTTATAGTAAATGATAACACATTTTTTTGTGCCTAATTTTAAGCAATAGACAACTATACATACCTGCTGCAAGAAACGCAGCCAACTTATTAATAATAATAATTTATATTTTTATCAATATACAAAAGTATGATTGATTCGTAGTATTTTATGATATTCATTAATGCATATCACGTACGGATGTCGTTTGAAATTGAAACCCACTGATTATTTTATTTTTTTTTTTTTTTATGAGATTTTAACGTTACATTATGATATCTCGACAATTATGTACATGAATCTGAAATAAATTAAGGTTGGTAAAGCTCACACTCTTAAATTCGGAGACCTGATTGCAGAATAAAATTTAGCGTATGTTTGATTATATTAATATTGTCGGTGGAAAGAGGATAAGGGAAAAATGAATACCAGAGATGAAAAAGAGAATCTTTAGCTGAGATCTTTGGATAGATAGAGATTGACAATTTATGAGTAGGTGATGGAAATTACAGTATTCTCCACCACAGTTGGGTAGGGGACAACCCACTGATAAATACAAAATAAATGTATTACGTCGCTGGTCGAAGTAAAATTTAATCCATGCCATCAGGAGGTACTTTACCTGATATAATTTGGTTATATATATATATGGGTATACGATTGGTAAAATATGTTATTTATTATATTATTCATTTTATGACCCATACGGTAATCATTACGAGTGCGATAACGGGTTTTTATTGATTTCGCATTGTTTTCCTTTCCTATTTCCGTTATCCAATCGATTCAATAAAACTCGCGCATCCTGCCGGCCTACACGAACCGCGGACGAAATCCAAGTTTATTACCTATCCAATACTCCCAGCGATTATTTAACGTATATTATAACTACGAGGATTTCGGAGGCACAGCTTTGAAATGATCACTCAATCCAGCGTACATCGCATCACATACATAAAAACACGGAATCGTAAAGTTCTTCGTGCCAAATAACGTGTCATCACTATTATCAACTCGTTTCGGTGATCGAAATTATTATTCCCGTTGTAATTATAATTTTTTTGAAAAAAAAAATATGTGTGTTTTTAGATTTTTCACGAGTTTTTTCATCGTGATGTGTACACGCGAACAGCTCGCGTGTAGGCCGTGCCGTCGTTAGTGAACTGGCAACTTAGAAAATTGCTTTGGGCCTCGCATTTGTCAAGTTAGATATTTTTAGGTGTATGGAAATTGTATTGGTCTTTCCTGGGGCCTCGTGAAAGCTTGCGATGGCACTGCGTGTAGATATACTACTATTTTGTATAATATATGAATGCATACTGAAAAATGGTTAACAAAAATATGAGTGAACGCGTACCGCGGGGAAAAAAATAACAATTCCAATCGTGGTGACTCATCGACATCGCTATATTATTTATCATTATAACACCTCCGCAACCGCAATGATTTATTATACTCATTGACTCCGATCGTGTATATACAATATAATAGTACAGCACGTCGGAGTAAGGATGCGCGTAAGGGCATCTCCCGTATTTACCGCCTGACCGATTATATTCATCCCTTATATTCTCGGAACGGCGTCCCCGGAGGCAACGACACCTTGTAAATACGTTCATTTCTCTGAATCGCAGTCGAATTTATATTGTATTTATACGAAACAGAAAAAAATTAATGGTTATAGGTTTGTTCGCTCCCGCAGAGTTCTTTTTATTTTTTCCGAACGAAATTCTCGATAAAAATTAGTATCATATGTTTCTTCCGACGCACATGATGTGTACTTAATGTATATGTTTATAATGTAGCGTGACCAACGATCGTTTAACAAACGAAAATTTCCTCTAAGATTTGTCAACGTTTTTAGCGAAGGGTGTTCTTTTGTAGAGTTCTAAAATATTGATATAATAAATAATTGCAATACTTTCTCGTATTGTTCGCAGTATAATATTTTTCAAGAATTATTTTCATTATTTCAAGAAAATATTTTCGTTGAACATACAGCGGCCGTATACGAACGTGGGTGTTCATTTTGGAGGAGTTGACAAAACAGTGTACTCCTTCTCCATCCCACTGCCAGCCGTAAAAATAATATAAACTTTTAATTGAAATATCACCGTTAAGATAATTATTAATTCAATTAGGATGTTAAATCGGTATGAAAACATACGACTTTTTTGCCCTCCTGCCCTTTCTAAAACTTGACCTATAGTCGTGATAGGGTAATATAGTTACGATTAGTTATCGCACGTGCACAAAACACATTTGTGTATACGTTACGTATGCAAGTAAAATCGATGATCCAGTTGGCGGGAGAGGTACAGCAAGCAAAGTGTGACCCAGGTAGTTTTTAAAATCAATCAAAGCGTATCCATACTAATGGCGAGCTCACGTTTTTCGGGTGAAAATTTCCGGGCGTACGATCTTTTTTTCCCCCCCTTACATATTAACGTGCTCGCCGTTGTGTTTCTTATACCGTATACCATTTCATTTCGTCTGTATTCGACGGTTGCGCAGGTGATCGAGGACTGGAAATACGTGTCGATGGTGTTCGACCGATTCTTCTTGTGGGTGTTCACGTTGGCTTGCATCGTGGGCACGTGCGCTATCATATTCCAGGCACCGTCGCTGTACGACCAACGGCAGCCCATCGACTTCCAGCTGTCCAGCATACCACGACGTCGCAGCAACTTGGCGCTGCCGCACGAGATCGACTTTTACGAACGTACGTACGGCGCGGATTAAGATCAAGACGAGATGGCCAGACACCTTTAGTCCGCGGTCGCCTCGAAGTTTACGCACGATTGTTGGTTTACACTGATTTGCATAAGTTATTTAATAATCAAACTGTTAATTAAGTCCTGTTAATTTTTTTTTTTTTACACGAACGCGGAACACGCCGTACACGCATGTATTATACCGTTCGCATTTTCGACGCGATGTTGTTAAATACGTTTTCGCGTTTCCATTTCGCCGGCACCGCTGGACACCGCCGGGTATCATGATATTATAGATTATTATTGTCATTTACATATTCCGTAGGTTAGCATAAATAATAGTAGTGCAAACGCATTGATAGTCAAAGGGGTTGGTCGGGTACGCGAAGAGAATCGCTTATCGGTCAAGTATAATAAAATACCTAAATCTAGTTATAGAGTAAACGGGAGGAAGAATGCTATCATATTTATAGCTGCACACTGGTTGGTCAACGGTAAATCTGTTTTTGTTGTTGGAACGAAGTTTATAACGTCACGTGTGACGCTCTAAACGTATTATGAGTATTCTAGTGGTTGCATATTTATGGCCGACAGTAAACATACGATGAAATCAACGCAGAAATCGAACGAAAACGGAAAAACTTTACCGCACAGAAGTATTACGTACCATTTTTTTTTTTTTTTTTTTTCGTATCGTTAAGTATATATTTAACGTTATCGGATGGAATGCATAATACTCCTTTAGCGACATTATTTTATAATATTCAACGGAACGTATTCGCACGAACACGTGGTTTTTATAATTTACCGAGTTCGAAATCTAAAGTTGATGAAAGAAAAAAGTTATAACACGTCAGTACAGGCATACCGAAATAACGTTTCCGTTTTATTTGGACGATAATAAATGTAGTTAACCGACAAGTCGTACCTGATGACCGACTAACCGAATGTGCGGTCGTACACCACGCACCTCCTATTGGTGCGCTAACGTCAGAAGAATTTCATGGTATACGACCCCTATGTCGTAGGGTCTGCTGTACGATAATTTTTATTTTTATTATTTATTTCTCGAAGATTTTGGAATGCGCACGGTTGAATGCGTCTCGTCCGATGCGTGATCGCGCTCCATTTTGAAAACGAGGAATGCGAATCGGGATCGTATCGCTTTTGAAAAGTAACCGTCTCGAACCCAGCTGCGGCGGAACGCGGGTGATTTATTGTTATTATTTTATCATCCCGTGGACACGAAAAATAGTGTGCACACAGCACGCGTCTTCGCTGGAGGATTATCCGAACGTTGAAAAAACGGCTTCCGTTACGTCACATAATAATAGTAATAATGTAATAAAAATCCAAAATACCGCGCCCCGTTGCCGATTAACAATAATAATAGTAATACCAGATCCGAACGAAATATTCAGGTCTCCTAACCTATGTACGTTCCTCGTAGCACGAGCGTTGAAGAAAAACGGAAAATGGAACGACTGAATATGATTTAAACATAATGCTTGTGCGTTGCACGTACCATCTATACGTTATGTGCGCAACGTTTCTGTTTGAACGAACACGTTTTACCGCAGTCGATAAATTCCCCGCGAAAGCCATCCCGATCTACGCACTTCATGTGTAGACTGCGACACGGTTGTGTGCACACACAATTCAAGTGGGTCTGTTGGTTGGAAATAATAATAAGCATCGAATATTTTTATGACCGTGGTCCGAGGCTTTGAGTATTTCCACGTTTTTCAGTTTTTTCAATGTTTATAATCGTTTATGTATGAAAAATTAAATTGATGAATGAAGACATGGCGCCTAAGCCGTGCAACATCACGAGCCTATCAAAAACGTGTCGTAAGATTTTGATGTTACGTTCCCTGCAATATTATTGGAGACTGATTTTTCTTATTTCGTATTTTTCGGCTTTTATTCGTTGAAACAGGCATATAGTTAAACTAGTAGCGTCCACGTGGATGCAGCCACTAGGCGTCACTGTGATCGCTTGCGTCCGACCTGTAATAAGGAAACAGGTTTTGAACAATAAAAAAACTATTATTGTTCACTATTACTGTTTCGATAGTTTTGTTTTACTGTTTTCACATTATCGAAAATCTGTTTTCGTCTAATCGAATTCCAACGACGATTACGGCCACGTAAAGTGACTGCGTCCACGTATAGAGGTTACCGATTTTAACCATAGTACCGTTGTCGTATCTGTTGTAAAATGTACGAACGTACAGTGTTACGTAGACTATAAGTTACCGTTCGGAATTGTAGCAACTTTCCAGTCGTAGGTACGCAACTTACATAGTTACCTGTCGCAATGTTTGATATAAATAATTATTACTTATCTAATAACGCGCGTATAGAATCGTTCGATCGCTGTTTATCATCTGTACGCCCGTGTATACTTTCTAAAAGTATTCCGTTTCAACGTGGCATAACATACGCACATGCGTATACGATAATACGCGTTTAATCTTGCTCAATTATTTTTACAAAAACGGATTAACGAAGTACGTTTTTCGGATATTTCAAATTTGATTATGATTTTTTTTTTTCGTTACGCGCGTGTTCTGCTTCCCCGTATGTGTAGGTACACTACGTTTCGTGAACGAAACGTACTATCTTTTCTTTTATTTTTTTATTCGTTTTATTTTATTTTTTTTTTTTTTTTTATCCTACATCAATAATTTACGGTTAAATGTGAAAATATGTGTTTCTGAGATCGAGTGCTAGAACACGAAAAAATAATTTCACCGGATTTCGTCTAGAAACAACGATTAATTACCGTAATGTGCGCGAACAAGGCGAGTCTAAATATTTCGGACTTGCGCTATAATATATATTTGGTCTTCCGGTACTCATTGTTTCGAGTTGAATACAAATCGAGTGTCACACATGTACATAAGATTTCTGCTCAAAGTGCATCGATTTTTGCTAAAAATTGTGCAATAATGTTTATTTAATTATAGAAACGTATTTCATTGTCGAGTGAAAAAATCGTCGACCGCAAGTATTGCAGTTGAATGTTCCAAAAACAACGTATTAATTTGTTCGTTTAATGCGCGTCGTTTATACGCGAAACTTTAGGTTTTATAATAATATAACGCGTATAAGTTAGTTATGATACTCGAACGATTCTGTTTCGATTGGATCGCGGTGAATCCATTCGAGATTCCGTTTATAGCTCAACGCGCGAATAGGATATTAAAATATTAACTGATTTTTTACCGTAGGTTGAACATGAAATTCGATCGGACAAGCATATTTAAATTAAGTTTAAATTTTATAAACCGTATTGAATTCGACGTGCGGCGCGTGCGACTACAGTAAAACCGTTGAGTTTACAGGTGGTAGTGTTTTGAAACATTTTTATTTCACGTCGCCGTGTCGTGTGTAATAATAACAGTAATGATACAGCATTATACGATGGCATCGGTGTGCTCGTTCGTTCCCGTCGTCACGATCTCTACACGCGGCGTTTAATATATTTTATTTATTTTAGTTTTTTTTTTTATAAATTCACTAGATAATCCCTTTGTGTTCGACATAAAAAATACACGACATAATACTTAATAAAAAACAAGATACAAATAGAATAACAACACGATGTCGTTTACATACTAACAAATGATAAATCAAAATACAATATAAACCAGTAAATTATACTATAATCTCGTCGTAATGTTTGGGACCCGAGTGAGAGGGGGCTGGCGTTTTCGAAGTAATATAAACCCGTTTATATACTAATGGTGTGTGTGGACTAAAAATATTTTTTTCTAGTGGAAACAAATCACAGTAGGTACATAGGTGCATACGAGAGAAAATATCAACTAACACGATTATTCTAAATAAAATTGTTGACTTTGAGCACGTTCGTTACGATAATACAGAGGAATTCCGCGCGGAGAAGAAAAAAATCGGTAGATACATTTTCACCGGGAACAATATCATTACGATACCACACGGACGGTACATCATCGTACCGTACAACGCCTGTAATGCGATTTGAAACTCGAACGGTTGGGATGATGATAATAAATTACCGATCGGATTCAGTGTTGAGACTCATAGGTTTTGGTATCCAGTCGGATGCGCTTTGAATAACATGAACGTTGTACAATTGTGCGATAAATTTGATTTCGTTTCCGATTCCGTCGAATCACTGTACCACATGAGAATGGCAGTGCATTGGTTTTGGGGCACAGTTCTAACGCAGCCGATTTTCCTGTCCAGTCGCGACGCAAAACGAATAGAGAAACTTATGCAGACTTCTGCTACTGTTGTCTCGAGGACAAGAAAACTTTACCTGGCGGTACGAACATTATAATATTACGGGGTACATCGCGATCACGTACCCGATTAAAATTCAATAGGGAGGTAGAATACCTCGGATATATGACTGCATAAAATGCTTTGAAATTAATGAATAATAATATTTCTTCAATAATGCACGATTCGTATCATTTTTCGAGTTATATAATAAACAATCATTATTGATAAGAGATCGGTTTATTATAACACTCGATTAAGCTTTAAAATCCATACGACATCTCTTTTTTAGATTTAATTTGCTTGTCAATAATTACTACACGTAGTTCGAGTCGAAAACAATTAAATATTTCATACGAAAACTCAAAACATATTTACATGGTTTAATAATAACAACAGACTTAAAATAATGTATCGACGGATTTATTTTCCCCTGTAGCCTCGCCACACCCCATCCCATAAAATATACATAATATCAATATTTATACGTACATCGGCATTTATCTCGACGTTTTTATACGAGCGTATGAAATATATAACTATGTTACATAATGCACTCGCGAGTTTCCTTCGTCGATAATTATGCACATGTATAATTTAATAACTCGAACCATTACCACCTGCAGTATTACCTGTAAATGTTATACTATTTGAAAACTTTCAAAAAATATAGTAATATCCGCGTTGTGTTGTCGAAGTGCAAAGTATTAAAATAAATTGTTCGATTATGCAACATTGTATGTTGTTACGTTGACA